ACGGATGCTAGAGCAATAAGGAGTGAAAGTGAATGCATGGTTATAGGAAGAGCTCAGATGCTACAGCAAATATTTTCAAGGAGCACCAGCAGCTTCATAATGCTTTCTAGTTTTCCTTGAGAAAAATCTGATTTTTAGATGATTCATGCTTATTCCTAGGCAAGAAGTAGAACTCACTTTCTTAGCCAGCCTGTAACTTCATGACTTGGGCATTTAAATGCATGGTTATAGGAAGAGCTCAGATGCTACAGCAAATATTTTCAAGGAGCACCAGCAGCTTCATAATGCTTTCTAGTTTTCCTTGAGAAAAATCTGATTTTTAGATGATTCATGCTTATTCCTAGGCAAGAAGTAGAACTCACTTTCTTAGCCAGCCTGTAACTTCAAAATACTAACCTTCCCTCAATCACAACAGAAGAATCTTCCTGAGTAATCCAAGTAACATATTCCCCCAAAATACATCTATGGTCAAAATTCAGATTTGCCAAAGTTCACCATTAAAGTCTCACAAGGATAAACATAATGCTTCCAAATACAGTGAGCAGGGACTTATGCTTGGTCACATTTACAGATTGATATAGAAATGAATACACAAAAATCCTTAACAAGACCAAAAAAACCCAAGTTACTCTGTGTGTTTGTGTATATATTCATGTGTGTATAAATGGGAAACTGTTGGCTAATATAAAGCAAGCTTTGTGCTGGGGCTGGAAACAAGATCCCAAACGCATAAATGGCAGAAAGATATCAAACTTACACTTCCCTGATGTTTGGGTTTTTTAAAGGTATAACACATAATAAGAATTACTCAGCTCTATCCCAGCAGGGATACATTTATAGGACTAATTGTCTTAAATTTTCAAAGCTGGAGGCTGTCTTTAATTCGTGTGTGACCCATGCTACCCGCTCTCAGTCCCAGGCAAGCTTCTCGGTCAACTTATTATCATACAGTGGTTTGTCTCAAGCTGGAGCTCAGGAACTTCCCAATAATCTTCTCCCCATGCCGGGGACAGAGGAAAAAAGGCAGTACCACCAAAGGTCCTGAGACACAGGTCCCTTCTGCTGTTACTGCAATTCAGAGCAAGTATCACTGGTAGCAAAGAGCCCAACCAGTTTTTTCCTGAGCAGCTGCCACTTCAACTTCCTTTGAGTTTATACACAGAACTTTGTCCCCACTGGCCATCTTCTCCATCATACCATCAGGGCATGAAATTTTACTACATTTAAAACTCACTTATGGAATATTGTATATATTAATCCTATATTCTAGCAAAATATAAATGTATTTGCTTTACATGTTCTCCCTATAAAAATATAGTGCTTCTTATACTCTATGAAGTATAAATACATATGCTTCCTCAAAAAAAGCCCTAGAGCATTAGGACAGCATATATATCATAGGCCCACCTGTACTTTCAAAAACGCTTTTGTTTTGGAATGCCAATTAATCTGTAGTTTATTGTATTTCAGCCTTCAGAAGGTCACAGGATTTAACTCTTACATCCTTGCCAATGTCAGTTGGCTTGTAATAAACATTCATATTTGTTTTATGATCCAGACCAGCTGGTGGGTTTAATATACAGTAAGAAGGAGAAATCTGACAAAAAGAAGTGATTCATCTTCATAATCTGAGTAGAGGCTGGAACCTTCAGCAGAATCTTAAAACTATTCATTTATTTGTTCTTGCTTTTTTTTTTTATTACCATTGATTGGATACAATCTTAAACATTCAGTACTTTCGGTAAGAAGGATTTATTTGATAATTGGAAAAAGCTTTCCTGGCAGGTAGCTTGCTCGACTTTCTCAATTTGATACATGCTCATGTTCTGCCACGATGGCAGAAGGGAGGAGCTACTGATATACTCATTTGCTTTAAATTGTTTTCACTTTCAGCTGAAATCATTAAGAGTGACCTGAAGTGTAGAAATGATGTACAAAAAAGGATATAATTAATTTTGCTGCAATGCTGTCAACAGACTGGTGCAATGCTCTCAGACGTGGAGTTGAATCCATTTACAGTGATAACTGCGGTGTACTCCTGTTGGTGGCCTGTGGCCCAAATTTGGCCTGGAGAACAAACCCATCAGGCTTGCTGCAAGAGATAGGGCACAATATTCATGCAGCAAAGGTTGCCTTCACCACCAGACATCCTCATCTGCACACAAATATCACCCAGCACAAAGTCAGGGGCTGTTGCTTCCACAGTGGCCAGCAAAAATGAGGTAGGTGGGGAGATGTTATAATGGGGAAAATGCACATGGCTGCTGAGATAAAAATACTGCTGTACATTTATGCCTCATGCTGGAAGCCTTAGGGAGAACAAAAACATGTATCCCATTAGCTCTCCCTTCATACCTCAGCAGAAAAAAGTCTGCACAGCATTGCCATAATGGCAACTTGTGACCTGAAGGGGCAGAGGCCTGGAATGCATTGGAGAAGAGGGGACAGAATGGCTGTTTCTGCAGTTGCCATAAATTCAACAAATCGACCCACTTCAGATGCTCCATTTTGAAGACCTTTTGTGATTTGTTCTGGTTTGGAAGGTGGAGCTAATCTCCTTGATACAGAAAATTCCTGTCCATCAGCAAATCAGAAAGCTAAGCAACAGCAGACTACACTAGTTATTTACACAGTTGAAGGAGCTGTGCTGATTTGTACAAGTAGGTATTTATAGCATAACCACTTAGGCAGAAGCTAAGTAAGACTCCCAGAGAAAGCTGTAAGGAGATGGATTCAGACATGCCCAAGTCTTCCCAGTGAGCAAGCATGGGTATCAAAAGCAGAGTACCTGCAGGAACATTGGCTAACTGGCTCTGTTTAGAGGATGTGTTAGCAGGAAAAAACACTGTGCCAAGACAGAGAAGCTTGTTCTGGCATCCACATCTACTTATTCAAAAGGGACCTGGTTATCCCATAAGGCTCTGCTTTCCATCACACAGGCATATGTGAAACACCTGCTATTTCGGAACAAAGGTGCAGGCAAGAGGCTGGTTTTTGCTGTAGTTATCTGCATGTGCTATTAATACTACAGGTTGGGTTTTACCATTCACTCAGGGCAGGGACAAACCGATTCAAGCTGCCTGGGTACTGCAGGGACTCTTGAAACAGCAAAGATCCCCTCTTACTGCACACCTACACAGCCATAACACACCTAAGCACCCAGACCATTGTCCTCTATTTCAATAAATAACATCCCAAGCCATAGGCTGCACTTTGGCAAACAAAAAACCTTCCCCCTGCCAATAGAAGATGCCATGAAAAGCTGAAGAACCTTAAAAGCTGAATAGAATACCAGGAAAGTGAAGTGACTTTGTCGTGACAAATTGTACATCCACTGTGAGAAAGTTATTCAGCATCCTGCAGTTCAGAATAACTTGCTTTCAAGTTCTGTAAGTCAAATTCACTGACAGCATCAGGCATCGATTCAAAACAAAAGAATATGAAGTGCAATGGTGGAGAATGAATAATCTCTTGCATTCTTTTCCAATATAGCCTATACGAGGTAAGGATTTTGCTTAAAGATTTGTTCTTTACTGCACCTTCTGTGACATTCTGAATTATGGCTCAATAGAAAAATCAATTAAAATGACTACAGAATAGTTCTTTATCTGCCACCAAATCATCCTCCTCCAGAAGAGCTAATATTTCTGCAGTGCATTATACATGAATTAGCCCTGCTGTTCTAAATAAATAGATTAAATTTGAGATCCTTCAGCCTGCAGCTTCAGCAGAAGGGTAGGCAAGCCAGCCATGGGTTTTATATAAGCACAAAATAACTTGTAAATACATAGCGTTACTCTAAAACCTAATCTTTAAGAAGTTTTTTTCTTTCCCTCTGTGATTTCTGATCCTTATCAGGATCAGAACCAGCAAACCAACATTTCTTTTCTGTTGGTCACCCACCTCTGCACACAAGCAGAGACACGCACCGCTTATCACTCAGTTCTTAGTTATCCTGCATTCAAACCTCTCACTGGAAGGACAGTAGTGTATGTGTACAAATAGACAACAATAGATCAAAGTTTTAAAACAGAAGGAAACTACTGCACACTTCAATTTCTGGGAAGCTTAGATACAGTTTCACAGTTGACTGTTGTCTCTTATTTCACTTGACCACAGAGACGCCACCACTCTGATAATTGGGCTCCTGGTGTGCTGAAACCACCACTTAGCCCTGAAGATGAAAGCTGATTGCTTCCTTGTTTGCTCCATCTCATACATCTACTTTCCCTTTTCTTATTCTTTGACTGCAAGTGCTCTGATATCTTTTAATCTGTTTTTTATACAATGTTTACCATATTCGGGCTACTGTCCGTAACTGACTCCTGAGCACTCCCACAGCAGCTAAGATTAAAAAAGAGAAACACAAACTTTTAAGCCCTCAGAATACTTGAATCCTAACCAAAACTTTGAAACTTACATATGCACTTGTCTTCACACTTACCACGTATTCAGTGAGATTCGAGTAACCTCAGCAGACTTACCTAAAACTAACTTTTTATTTGAAGTGATATGGTGAAGAATATGAGAATAATAACCAAAATCTTTCAAAGAAAAAAGTGAATACAATACAAAAGGTACCTCTACCATAGGAAAAAGTATCACCTCCGCATACAGCAAATGACATAAAAGAGCTCTTCAGATTTGGCTGAAAAGACTGACCTTAGTGCTTTGCATCTTACATAGCCCTCTAAAACCTGTCACATGTAACGTCACAGGTTATATTAAAGCCTTCACGTTACATAACCTTTCTCTACTGATACAACCGAATTCATACTGAATATGACAATTTGTAGATCAGAGTTTCACAAGGCTGTTAAAAAAAATTGAAACAAATATTCTCAGTTTATGATCTACCTTAGTCTCTAAATCGTACAATGACAACATATTATAGTTACTTTCCAAAGCCAAAGTTTAAAAGTTTTCATTTTAATGATTTATTTTTTTTTAATATATACATCAGTATTGTCTCATTTTAATTCTCAGAAAAAATAAAGTACCTTCAAAGTCCCCGTCTCTGGCTTTTGCTGCAAGTTCTGAGGATGATATGCTTTCTTGACATAAAGCACAGTCTTCCAATGCTGCATTCCTTAAACCCGGATTAACTGCAAAACCACCAAAAAAGTACCACAATTCAGATTCTTCCAATTTGCAGTTAAAATATTTGTATTAGGACTTCAGGATTAGATTACAGTAGCATGTATATATACCTTCTTAAATTTCTTGCTTTTTCTTTGACACAAACAGTGATTTAAGTGTCTCCTCTATTCCTCTTTGGAACGACAACAGATATTAAAAATGCTGTTATTACAGGACATACAGTCCACTTCTACCAGTTTAGCTGCATCCTATATTTTATTTCCTTGTTCTTAACTTGGATCCTTTACAGAGAGGCAGATTATACGAACAACCAGAGATTCCCTAGGTGAATCACAAATATTAAATCCCATATATCAAAGACAAACTTCATCCCAAAAGTCCCCAACTTTTATTCACTCATTTTGTTTGTTTACTGTTGTCAACACCTTTTTTTTAATGTAATAGCTCATCCATTAGGAAGTATTCCAACCAAGTACTGTTGACTAACATATTTCCTAGTGATAATTCTGTATGGTTACAGTTTCTTTATTACTTTTATTTGAATGTTCAGAAGCTCTTTGATCCTCTCTGTAGCAATTCTGTCCAACCCCATTTTTTCTTGTCAACAAAAAACCCCAACAAAACAGTGTCTCTTCACATCATGACATCCCACCACCATAAAAATGTTTTGGAAGTTTCAACCACAAGTGTTAGATGACTGTAATGCATGTTGTTGTGCATTATCTCACTGCAGAATTGAGCTGGATTAGAGGCTTTTCTGCTAAATTTGACCAACTTTTAACTTAGTGTTTCATGTAAAATCCTTAGTGCTTTTAAATGAAACCGGGAGAAAGGGAAAGTCAAAGTTTTCAATCATGTGGAAAGGGAGAAAAAAAAAAGAGCTCTCTGATAACCTTCAGATGCTGATAGTTCTAATCATAACAAAGGACAAAGGTAATTGCAGTCTTGCTGGGATGACGTGGTTATTTTTAGATAAGTTAGCAGACTTGCCTCTTTGAAAAAGAAATAATTGAAATGGTGACAGAGAAAAAAAACTTCTTGCATTGGCTCATGGTCTTGTTCTGGCTCAATTATCTCAATTACCTAGAAATCCAAAGTGGAATTTTTCTATTTTGAAGCCAAATTCAGCATTCTGCAATTTCCACAGGACAGATTTCAGCATCTTACTGAGCATTCTCATCTTACACACTGCTCTTTTCACATAGCTGTTTTAGCTTCAGAATCAAAGATGCACGTCTCAGTACATTAAAATGTGTCCAGTGTGAAACAACATCTGGGGGGAAGTCCATCCCTGCATATATTATGTTATGACTATATGGGATACAAACACTCTTCTGTTATACATAGGAATATGGAAACAAGCAGATGAATTCTGAAAGCTTTAACTCTTCAACATTTGCCTCAAGACATACTCCTGTGCATCTATACTCCCAGTGACTTCAACTTATTTACAGTCTGTTTCCATTACTTTTTTTTTTTTTGAAACACTGGTCAAATCACTGTACCAATCACACAGTAAGCCCTGTCAAAAAGTTAAGAAAACGTTAAGGAAACGGTTGTCAAATGTTCATGGATCCCTATGGGGCTACCAGCAGAAATTCACCATAGCAAACAAGTGTTTAAATCTCTTTACCTTTTTTTTGCTTTTCCTTGTCTTCTGTTTCAGGTTTGGTTGCCATAACTTCAAACAAGGTCTTTAAGATACTTCTCAGATCACTAGCATAGTTTGTCTGCAGCTGGTCAGCAACACCTAGGAGTTTGAGAGAATGGGAAACCATTAGTCGACTATTACACCAACCTTTAAAAAAGAAAAAGTATTTAAATTTCCCTGTTGCTGCCTTATATTTATTTTTGAGGGGATCACTTGCTCATATTAGGAATAAAAATTAAGTATATAAACTAATTTTCAATAATGGCCAAATTATACTGTGGCCTTTATGCTACCTGCAGTTTGATACATATCTTCCTTACCCTTTGGCAGAAAACACCGAGAAATTCCTTTTGCATCAAAATACAACTCCTGCACCAAATTTCTTCCCTTGATGACATAGTGCATCACCAAGAAAAAGGAAGCACTTTCAAGTCAAACCTATTGCATTCCCACACTCTTCACCTGTACAGGTCTAAGACGTCTGCGTCCCTGATTCTGTAAGTTGGTCTCCATCAGGTAACGTCTTTATAGATTAGTCTGCAATTTAGGCCCCAAAACACAGTCTTGCTGCAACTTCACTTCCAGTCTGCTCTACCATAAACTTTACGTGCACCAAGAAAACCCAAAGGATGAATAGTTTTAACTTTCAGATCAAGAGGATACTCTCATACCTGAGATACAGACAAAAAGGCGGTGAATAAGATCATTACTGCCGTGAAATCTGGATCTGATCTTTTCTCGGGTGGCAATTTTAGCAGCCTGCAATGCGAGCTGGATTTCTTCCTGATCGATGTCATCAGATGAACAAGAACTTGTCATTAAACTACTGTCAGAGAAAAAAAAATAATGTAAAGAAAAGTAATGTAAATCTCTACTCAGTTGTTCAGGATGTTCAGCAAATCCTAAAGGATTTATGACTCAGGCAAGACTCTATAGCAAACTGGAACTAATTGCTGTAAATTCTTGTTGAAGGTAATCAACATGCAATCAATCACCATCATGTTTGATTTTCACTCTGTGGCATAGCTGCAAAAAATTTAACCAGAAAATCATTTGTCTGTATTCTATTGCATTTTCCTTAGCTATTAGAAAGTGCTGTACCATTTTTCACATTAACTTCTAAAAGCTCATTCCTAAGACCATAACTCCACCAAATATCCGAAAGGGGAATAGCAACCTAAAATGAGAAGATCAGTTCTGAAGTCAACTTAGAAATTTATTAATGTGGAAGTTAATTTGAAAAAAAAGAATTTCTGAATTATGTTGCCTTAAAATAGAATCCAAATATAACCTTACATGAAAAAAATGGAAAGAAGGGTGATAAAATATAATTTACACAATAGAGAGGTAGATTAGTTTCCTTATATACCTAACTGTAGAAATTACTGAAATGTCAAACTATTGTAGCAGAATGGCTCATCAACTCCAAAGAGATTGAAATGTGTCACCAAACAACTACTAGAGACTTAAATTTTCTTTTAAAAACCAGACATACAGTTGCCAGCCATTCCCATCCCCAGCTATTTATGGAGAGAAAGCTTGAAACAACCTGAGACCACAGGGAGGCTTTGGCGGGAACCCAGCTCCTTCAAGTATCAGGAATTACTTGATTTGTAAATCAAGATTTTTATTTTTTTTAAGGAGGTACCTAAAGAAAAAGTAGCACTTTGCCAATGGTAAAATCTTTAACTAAGGGTAGAACCCAGGATGCAATTATGTGGAAGTCCTAAGGATTCATTGTGTTGGCTGAAGGAGAAATGCCTTCTTACTCCACTACATTCAGAGACAGAGGAACACTAAACCATTTTCCCCACATATTGGAAAGAAATTAATCTCACCAATGATTACAAAAAACTAGAATATTTCACTTGTAATCACATTTTGGCTGTCCAAAACTCCAGCACTCTCTACTACGCAGACAGCTACTATGTTAAAAAAAAGTTACCGACTGCATAAATCGCATGCATAATGAAGGAAGTAGTTTCTAAGAGATTTCCAGTTCAATCTCTTTTTATTAGGTGCTGAAACATTCACCATCTTATAGATCCCACCCCTATGGCAGTATGCATGAACAGTTATTGCAGGATAAGACACATAAGCAACATTTATAATTATTTGTAACAAGATTTTATGGGATATAGTTTTGAAATTCTACCTGTAGACTATAGAGATAATCCATTCAAATATAAAAATGAAATTATCAGGGCATTTAATCTTAAAAGCCTTAGTAAAAACAAAACTGAAAAAATAAATACTGGACATTACTTATTGATATAAATAAGAACGGAGGACATGTAGCATGAGCACCTTACCTGGCTTCCCTTCTTCCAAAGACAGAATAAAGAGTAGGCTTGCAAGAGACTCATTTTTTTCATGTTATCTATTGCTATGAACAAAACCAAATTCCTGTAAAAAGATGTTAGTTCTATGTTTACAGTTCCCTCTGCACAATTGAGTAGATTTATTAAAGATACTGAGAACTGAGTGAGAATTCTGTCTCTCAATTTTTCCTTTGCTTTTCCTTAGGGGATATAATACATATATTATAATAGCAAGCCTGTCAGCGTGGAAAGGTCTATGTTCAAGACAACGAAAAGGTCATGTGTGAAGGTGGCTTAGGAAGGAATAAAATGAAAGGCAGCAAGAGCCAGGAAGCGATCCCCGATTTGCAATGGTATGTGGCAGATGATTGCCTATATGCAGAAATGCTAATATATACAGATAAAGGATTTTATCTGCCTGGTAACATCGCCAAATAAGTCTACAAGTTGTGTTGTTTTTAAAGGAATTGATCTTACCGTGATATACACATTTGCACTATAAATTGCTCTCCAAGGCAAGCACAGGCCTCCTGGCAGAGACAAAAATCAGTCTGTGTATGCAATTATATACAATGGTCACTTTGAAGCTCCCAGTAAGAAAAATTCTTAGTGCAGGCAATAGCAGGGGTGCTGATTCAAGGATGACTCTTTCTTCCAAATCACAGTTGAAGAAATATTTCAAAGTAAGGTGTTAAGTGGGCAGAGAGCTGTGAAGAGTGCTTTTCAAGAATATAAACTACTTGGTTCCTTCTCTTTTGCAGAAAGAAAGGCTCGTTCCACAATTCTGACCAAGCTCTAACCAAATCTAATAATAATGTTTGCCTTTCCAAGTCTTCTCCAACTTGTAGGAATGCAGTTTTACCTACTTCCTAATTCCTCCAAGGAATGTGGTTGGACCTACTTCTGTTTCAGGCTATTCTGGATTAGATTTTGTGGTGTGTCATTAAGACTGGTCATGGCCCACCACAAGACTGGCGAGAATTTTTTTGTCTTAAAAATCCATAGCACAGAGCACATACAAATTACTTGACCGCTGTGGGATGGAAGGTCTGCATGTATACATACTCCCATTTATAACATACTTTCATATGTACAGTCACATGTAAAGTACAATATCCATATACAAGAGGTTCAGGAAAGAGAATATTTTTGCATTCAGGTCCCTTCCAACTCTAACCATGCTATGATTCTATAGCAAAGAGAATAGTGAACATTTCTGAACTGGACCTAAGAATCACTACCAAGTAAGAAATAATTACTGACAGAATGAACTCAGATTTAGTTGAAAATGACTCTCAAAGAATGTCTGTAGACCATCTGTTCTACACTTTAAAATACACCTTACTGTTAAAAAAATCAAGCTGGAAAATTAGTATTGTAGAAGCGGTCAAATACTGTAAGAACAGAAGCACAGCAATTGTTTTAGACAACCAGCAAAAGAGACAGCTTTTCTTCTAACAGGGTATCCCAAACAGCACCGATTGCATCTATGCAAATATTGAAGTTCCTCTTGATTTTTTTAAATTGATATTAAAGAAAATGAATCTGAGTTTTTATCTACAGAGCTAGTTCACCTTACCTTTTCTCCAAATTATTCTTTCAAACAAGTTATTTTTTCAGTTCTGTAAGGAATATCATTCCTACTTGGCTTATCTAACATCCATAATTTTGCTCAAAATTCTCAGCTGATACTAGATGTGTAAGAAGCATTTCATTAATGTCAGACTACACTCAGAACCGGAATGTTTCACTGCTGATATCTGCAGAATCAAGTATCGCTACAGAATATAAAAAGCCACAGATACAAGTCCTCAGTTTTTCAACTTCTTGGTTGAAGGGAATCCTGCATTACCCAAGGAACTAGGTTAAGAAGAGATAAGACCAAAACAAGCATGGAATTCCCCTTGTGAAATGTTTATCATATAAACAATGCTTATCATGTATTTCTTTTTCATATCATAAAAACATTACAAAGTCAATATGTCTGAGAGCAAATATCAGGAAATAACACATTATGTTAAGTGTTGACTCCAAACAGTAAACCTGCTTATACATTAGAAACCTCTGGCAGATTCAATGAATTAACTTTTTATCTAACTTGGCTAGCAATTCTAAAACTACTTCCCATTTGTCATGATAGAAGAGTAGCAAGACTCTTTCAGCACTTTAAAGATGTATCTCCAGAACAGCTGTCTGTTGTCAAAGCTTGATGTTGAAATTTAGTCAAATATGTACAATCAAACAAAACCCAACAATGCAATTGTTCACAATATCATCTTTCACCTGTGGAACCAATCTGCTTTATCGCTTTTAAGTTCCAAAGGATACTGTGAACCAGGTTAAGCAGTAGTATCCACACAGAATGAAAATCAGAGCTGTGGAACAAGATTATGACTGACTTCCAAACATGGCAAGTCATTTTAGGTAACCATCTGTGATACCGTAGGCCTTGTGCTGAATTTGTTGGGCACTGACACTCATCCAAAAACAGTGAAAGCTACAAGGTCTAAAACCGAATGACCAAAGTAAATTGGTTCAAAGTTGGCCCAAATTTAAATATTTTGCATTTCTGTTCAAAAACAAGTAAGTAGCAGTAGAAATCTGTGACCACTCACAGGTGGTCACATTTACATTCTTAAGTATGCATTAAATATACAGCACTGGCAGATAAAAAGAATTTAATAGTTTACTGTACTGAATATGATAAATACAAAGAAATAAAATGAATTATGTTTTCAAAATAATAATCAAAAACATGTTTAAAAAGTGGTTTTGTATTATTTGTCTGTTTTTAGAAATCTTAGATCAAAAGTGGTCACTATTTGATAAAGGAGCAACCCCAACATACCTATTCCATTATAAAGGATGCATTATGTCACCAAATTTAATAGGAAAGTAAGATCACCCTCTAAGTCTCTGATTTCAGGCAAGGTCTTTGATTACAACTAGTTTTCAGGTGCAGATTTCAGAAGATTGTTAGTGGTGCCTTTAAACTGAGAGGGCTCAAGTTGTAGTAACTCATTCCAATGAAGTTTAAATGCAAAACACTTTAAAACTTCTATGAACAATACAAATATTTACTAGAAAAGTGTTAACGCCATTCACTGACTATCCTTACATCATTTGTGCCATAAAAATACCTGTGACACCAGTGATAACTATCCACTTGCTCTGGAAACGTCCAGCAAGCTCACCATGCATAGCCAGAAGCAGCATGCAACCATTTGCAGCAAAAAAACACCTCCCTGCTGTAGCGTTAATACAAAGCCTGTGAATCCACTTACTGTGAACTCAATTAAATGGTATTATTCTAGTGCAAAAGCTTACCCACTTTGCAAAACCAAAGCAACGCGTTTTGAGACAAAATTGCTTTTTAGGAAAATTCATACATGCTATATGGAAGCAAGTATACTTTCTACAGTAAAGAAATGTAACAATTTCACAGGTTTTCGATGATTTCACTCATTCCTATTTACACAAAAAGGACATTACAACTGTAAACCAA